TCCAACAAGCATAGGGCAAACAAAAGTTTGAAAGTATAATTGCCAAGCTGGGACCATCTGCAACAGCTCAGCTGAGACCCTGAAGGAATCTAAGGAGAAAGATGGGCTCTGGGTTAAAAGGCCTGTAAAGGAGCTAAGGAGAAGAAATCAGAAGCTGCATTTCAAAATAGTGGAGAGGACTGAGATATTCCCTGAGGAGGCCAGAAGCAGAGGAGCTGTAGCTGCCAGGGCAGGCCATGGTCAGGGTACCGGTAAGCACCTTGGCCACTGCTTGAGGATGGAAGAGTTGCATTCATGTTGTGGATGCAGAAGCAGCAAGGTTTGGCAGCAAGCCTGAAATAGGGAAGGGAGATACAGCTAAAGATGTCAAGTCTCGTACCACAGCAACTGGCATTGGCACTATGGCAAAATAAAAAAGCACAAGGGACACAGGGCAAAGCAGAATGCTCAGAGCTGCTTCTCTGCACCAGCGAGAGGCAGTTAAGGCCATGCAGGGCACGACAGCCTGTGTGGAACAGAGCTCAGGAGGATAAGCAGTCAAAGCACAGAGGGGAAGACCTGCTGGACACTGCAGGAAGACGGGTCAGTGGCGACAGGGGACACCACAGTGCAATTTTTGCTAAGGCCAGGCAGGAAGCCGGGCAAGCAAGGGGAGCCGCTGGCGCTGCAGGCGCGCGAGCAGCAGCGCGTCCGCACCGGCCCGTCCATTCGCCCGCCGACGCCGCGGGGACGCAGCAGCCATCACTGCTGAGAGCCACCCGCGCTGCTGCCTCCGAGACTCGTGCCTGGCTAAAGCCAGAGACATCTTCCTCGATTTTAAAGATTAAATACATCTCTGCCAACTCTGTCTCCCTGACCAATATTGCAGATAAAACTTCTAGAAACCCCGCAGAGCTATTGTTTAATATCATAGCTGGAAGATATATAGCACAGCAAAGAGAAAAGAAGGCTTTTCTGTTTAAATGCTTTTGCCTCTCAAAACTAGGACCCATCACTGCACACCTCTGGTTCTCAGGAACTCAGAATATCCACTAACATGCTTATTGGAACCCCTCTAAAAATATATACATCTGTTCACCAAGACTGGCTACTTGCATAATGGTTATTTTTCTTTGATTCTCCCACTAGAGTCAAAAAATTACTTTTTTGTATTTATATCTCCAAGTCCCATCAGTGGCAAATGCCCAATCACTTTGCAAGTGTTCTCTGACAAATCCCACCAGAAGGCCTGTAACATCATCCCAATTTTACAGTTGGGGAAATTAAAGCAGAGACAGAGGTTAAGACAACTAATTGCCTACGGACACAAAGTGAGTCAGTAGAGCTGGGAATTGATCCCAGGAACCGTATCTTCCATTCTTGTGCTCCACCCACCAGTCAGCACACCCTTCCAGATGGTTCCTATCATTGGACATATGGACTAAATATTGCTAAGTTGGTGTAGAAGATTTGCTATTTAATTTAAAGTCTTGTCTTCCATCTTCATAGGACGTATAGGGAAAACTCTAGCCAGAATCCCACCTGCAGCCACTCAGGAAACGTCTCTAAAGCAAAGATCTAAACAAGCTAAACAAATTTCCCAAATCCATCAACTCACCCTACAACTCAGTCCCTAACAAGGCCAGGAAATAGGCTGCAACTCATGAGCCTCTGAAAAACTGTTTCCCAAAGCCAGTCTTCACCACGGTGCAGGCATAAACCACCAGGTAGGCTGGAAACTACTTTGTCACGTGAAGTCTTTTCCTTCAGCCTTCACTGCTCGCCCCCAGTGCCCCCAAACCAGAGATACCAGCAGAGGCACCCAAAGCCAGTGACACACTCTAGGTCACTTCCTCTGGGCATTAGCTCCAGCACAAGCCCCCATAAAACCATCACTGGTGCTGGGACCCCAAAGAGACCAGCTCTACATGGCAAATACCAGATCCCTTCTCCCTTGTTTATCACCACCTAAACCATCTGAAATGGCTCAAGTGGATGGGATGAAGCAGAGGAGGAAACTTTCCAATAGAGATACAGCAGACCATCCACACCACTAGAAGATCTGCCAGCTCTCCCAGCCCAGACTTTACAAACGCAAAGTAGCATCTCATCCTCATCCACAGAGGAGCTCGGATGCAACGTGCCTGCCTTTCCAACAGAAAACAAAGCTATTTCACAGCTTCCTCAGCCTCTGCAGCCAGTGCACCATAAAGAGAAAATCATCTATCACCAGGCCCACAAAAAAGCTCCAAGCATGTACTCTCCCGAGTGCAGTCACCTCAATGCATGGCCAGAGAAGCAGGCTCAAAGCTCTTCTGGAGGAAAACTGTGGGTGCAGTTTTATGCACTGACAAGGAAATACACTGCCCATCATTAACATGCACACAAGCTTCTTCCCACATTAACCTTAACACATGCAGCTCAGAACCTCCAGCCCCCTATCTCCATTGTTCTCTGACCAATAAAACGGAGGAAGGCTGGACAACATTTCTTCAGAAGGTTTTGCACCAACACCAACAACATAGGAATAAAATCATAACACCTTTCCATGTGTGCTATAAGAGCTGGGCAATCCGGGGAGGAGCCTCCTGCTTGAGGAAAGCAACTGTACGTACCTTTCATCCCAAACTTGGACCGCCGGCCATACTTGTTGATCATAATAAAGAGGACCACCAAGAGGACACAGGCAAAAGCTGCCAGCCCAACCGCTATGGAAACCTGAAAGGAACAAAACTGAGAGTCAAGGCAGAGGAATTTAGAAGTCTAGATTGGAAGTGTAGGCACCTCCTGGCTCAGTCACCCTTCTGGAGACTCATACCACCTGCTGTGGCCACATGGGTACCAGCACTGGAGAAAAACGCAAGCGAAAGCAAAGAGCTTTGGAACATCTCAGAAGCTTCATGGGAAGCTTCCACTACTGCCAGGTTTGACACCTCTCCATCAACAGCTCCGTTCGGGCAGCACTTCCACACACGCCTGCGGAGGGAGAGGACCTCAGCTCCCCCGGCTTCCTGAATGCCTGGCCCTCCCCGCACCCGTGGCATCAGCATCTTCCCTTTGTGATATCACCCACCGTGCCGCGATGCCACAGCAGAGGGGCTCTGCTGAGATACCGGGAACCACCAGGACCAACAGTTTTTATTTTATTACTATGTTTTTTTTTTAATACAAAAAGCATTCCTGTCTCCATCCAAACACACCTCAGGGAAAAAAATGAGACAAAGTAACACAAGAAAAAGAAAACAGACGAAGTGAAACAGAACTATTCTCCACTCCTCCCCAAATATTTGTTTTTTCTAGAGTCTCCCAACAGCTCTCAATTTATAAATATTTACTTCTAAAAATTAAAATAATACAACAGCATCCAAAGTCCTTCACTGGAACTATGTCAATGTATGAGCATAGAAAAGAAACTCTTACTGCCCTAAAGGGTTTACTGTCCAAACTTTATTTTAATATTTTTGGATATTTATTCCTTCAAGCCTTTACTCAAGATACTTTTGCTGCACTGGCGTAGACAATTTCTTTGGTGTTTGGCCAATACTTCTCCTGTACTAGGTGTTGTGTTGCATTTAGACCTGGGGTGTTTTTTGTTTTTGTTTTTTTTCATTTTTATTTTTTTAATACAAACTGTGTTTTGTTATTACTGAAAATATATAATTTAACAAAAAAGCCATTTCATTTTTAGAATATTTTTTCCTGCTTTTGATTTTTGGCTATATTATTTAATCTTTTTATTTTACCATATGCTATTTTCATCCTCAGCTTATTTTCTGTGTTGCATATTTAATAATCAGTGCGCATTACTACTAGAGCCTCACTTTCAAGGCTTTCATTTCAACCATAAGAGAATTTCAGCTGCATGAAAATTGAACCCAGCATAGACTGAGTTTTGTTCATTCTGTTACCATTGATTGGGTTTTTAAGTTCCCAAGTTCCCCAAGCTTTCACAAAATTAGAGTAATTACATAACATGCTAACTTTCCTCCAGTAGTTGTACACCCAATATATATTTTTTCATCTATCTGGAACCTGCCAATGAAAGAAATGTGGAGATTCGGTAAGCCCTGAGATCTGGAGAGGCTTCCTTTCCTTTTTCATGTGTGGCATGACCTGCAGAGCAGGCGAGAAGGAAACCTGGCATCAACAAAATGAACCCAGCTAAATCTGTGGCCCTCACAGGGCTAAACTTAACCGTTCAGTATTTCCATGAAACATGCAATTGCCTGTTTGTTTGTTTGTTCTCTGGGTGCTGCTTTTTCTAGAGGGAGAATTTCTGACCCTGCCAGCAGCAGCTTCACAGGATGTGTTATTTCAAAGGGCTGCCTAGTTCTGCATTGCAAACCCAAGAGGCTCACATGATTCATGTCAGTATTTTGCTTGCCTGCTGCAAGCCACAAAATCCTTCTGATTCTTGGCTGTCTTGTATCAAAGGAAGAGATTTTACCTGAAAAAAGTCTCCACACAGCAAGAGTAGAGCTACCACTAACAAGAAACACATACAGAATAGTTTTGTAAAGACGACAGGACTCACCCCAAAAGTGTCCTCCTCTGGTTTGTGGGTGACAGTGATCGGTGGCGTGGGACTCACTTCATAATCACCAACTGAAACCAAAACACCAGAGACACAACGTTCAACGCACACCCCCCAGGGCTCACAAGGCACCAGCACATCCCCACGGGCACTGCCCTACCCAACAAGATCCTATTCACCCCTAGAAGCAGCAGCTTATGGTTTCGGAAGGCAAAAGCCTCCCCTAGTATTTTGCTCACGCATGGAAACCCAGAGAAGAAGGCACTTACTTGAGACAAAGTTATCCGTACTCTCTGTGGAAAGGACAAACAGAAGCAAAACAGTTAGGAACACGCCAAAGTGTGGGTTCACCACCCATTCCAGCCACACACCACCACCATGTGAGCCCAGAAGAAACCCAAAACATTCCATAATTTCTCCTGCTTGACAATTGTAACTGGAGATCTCTCCATGATGTGCCAGCAGGCTGTGCTGGAGGTGGTCATCAAGAGGACATTTACTGCTGGATGGGGCCTTGGCCTAAAAGAGGAGGAGGAAGATGTTGCAAGGCCAAAATACTATGCTGAACAATTCCACTTTCATGAGTGCTAATACCAAGAAGGCAGCAGGGTCCCGAGGATGCCAGCCTCGTGGCCTGCTCTGTGCTCGTGCTCAGCTCTTGGCTCACCCTTTCCTCTCCCCAACAGCCCTGCTCGCTTTCACACCTGCCCTGCTGCTCTAGCAGCCAGTGGAGGAGCTGGATGTGAATGGTTCCATTCCCAGCTGGGAGTCTTCCTTCAACTCCTCCAGAAAAGCGTGCCAGACACCTGGGGCCAGCAAGGGAGAAGTTTTAGGAGCAGTGAGGATGGAAGTAGAGGGGAAAGAAGCAAGTTTTGCCTTGCACAACAGCCCTCACCTCAGCATAAAGCCTTAGAGGGACAAGGAGCACCCCCCAGGGAAGACACATCAGCTTGCGATGGGAGATTGAGGAGACTCTTCATAGCCCCAGTGAGTCACTATCATGAACACCAGCAGCATCTGTGCTGGATGCCCCGCTGCCAGTCACTCCCACCAGCAATCTGACTGCCCCGGTCTACTCAGTAAAGCTTATTCAGCTCCAGAGACAGCCGAGGTCCCGGATGACGAGCTCTAAAGCTCTCAGTGACACTGTTTACATAGTACAAGAACAATGTCAGCTTTCAATTTAGTCGCCCATGTAAGAAATTGAGCCCAATATTAACAAGAGTTTACACAGCTTTGCTGGCAGAGGGATGCTGGAAGGATGTCGAAATGTTCATGTTAAAGTACGGTTGAGGTTTGGAAGGGAATAAAATCACCCCAGGGTGACAAACATGGCTTTCTAAATGAGGAAAAGAAACCTAAAAAAATATTTTTGTTTCAAGTCAGGCAGAAGGAAGTTTCCTTGGCTTTTTCTAACATGAGAAAGGGATTAAGGAAGAAATATTTCATTCAGAGAGTTTTATATATATTCTTTTTAATCTATTAAAATTGTCAGAGTCTAATCATAAAACATTTGTTTCTTCTGTTTTCTCCGTTCCATTTTTCTTTGCTGCACTAAGCAAATTCAGTAGAAATTCACAAAGATTTTCCCCACTAAATCTTACCATTTTTGTAAGCATAAAACATAACAAAAAATTTGGGCAGCTTGAGTTCTACAGAAACTTTCCAAAGAACTGGAAATTCATCAGGTGGGGGATAAGTTAATGTCTGTGGATTAAATAAGGAGATGGCAGTCCACGGTATAGATGCCAATAACAACATGCAATGATATTTTGACTGGGAGCTGAAGCAAATCTGTCCTTGGAGACACATGCAGGAAGGGCATCATGGAGAGGCAGGATATAGCACAGCAACTCCCATTCAAGTGTTACCAGCACCTTTTACCTCTAACTTGGGAAAAGTGCCACCTGGTATAGTGCCAATAACAGGGTGACAACTTCTGGATCTACACAATGTGCCCACAGTTGTTCTTCTATGCTGACATGAAGCCTTCCAGGAACGACACTTTAATTAATACTAATAACCTCTTTCTGGATAGTTACAGCAAACTTCTTGTATGTGTGAATACTTATAGGCAATAAACTTCTTGAATGAACCGCATTGGGGAACCTTCAGTTTTTAGCATTTTCTGGAGGAATCTACCTTCAAATGGATAATTATAAACAATTGTATTAAGTGTTAATGGCACCTTTGGCAGTGGATGAAGCAATGAACTTCAAGGAAAATAATTTACATCCTGGATTGCACTGACAGGATCTGCCTGGATGAGGAATGACTTGGGACTTTGGAACAGAAGGAATAAAAGAAATGGGTCATTTCCTGCTGGAAGATGGTTCAGTTCTGTAAGTAATCCACATGCACAACACATATAAGGCACGGGTGAAGAGGTGTTCGCAAGGGCAATATTTTATGAATGCTTCGCACAAAAGGATTCTCCCACAGCCTTCAACACGAGAGGCTCTTCAGACATTAACATCCCTTTCCACAGCACTGCTTTCACAATTGACTCTCCAGAGCAACAGAGCCGCCCGATCTTGTGGAGGTTCAGCACCTACTTAGAGCTGTCCTCATTTCCCAGGCAGAGATATTGAGTCACAGAAGTGGGACCTGCCAAAGCTGAGACTGTAAACCCGTGTTTCTCTACGCCCACCTACATTTCATAAGCTGCTCTTCCTCCCCAGCAGCAAGAAACATAAATAGGTCAGATAACCAAAGAGGGCATCACCCTTGAAGCCTGAATACCAATTTTTTGCTCCCATCCATATCAGTTCATTTGTTCGATTGTCAGATCTTCGAGGCAGAGATTTAGGTTTCCATTTGTGGTATCTGACCTACGGGAAAGCTCTGTATACATATACAGTGTGATATAAATAATAAATGAGACTACCATTGGTATTTTTCTATATTTAGAAAATGTCCTATTTTGCTGGATTTTCTTGGGCTGCAGGGGCCAATTTACAGCTGCCACTTTCTCGTGGTGCTGCTCCTGAAGGCAGCAGCACACACGGCTCTTAACTCTGTGGTGGCCAGCATTGAACTCCAATGTGAAGAGCAGACCAAGACCCACCACGCTCCTACAGAGCCAATAGTCACTACAGACATCCCTTCTGAACTCCCCATAGCTAGATCTCCATCTCCTCAAAGGTTTTCCTGCACTTAAGCCCTACTGATTCAATGGGGAATTCCAAACCATTGGCTAAGAAAACCTGGCAAACAGCTTGGTGCTGAGCAACTTGTTGAGCCATTGTCTTTATTTTCTTTTGGTAGGGATTGTCAGCCTGAGTTGCATATGTCATATTTAAAAAGAAAGCAAGCGTGACAGTACTGCATCCAACTATAATAATTTCACAAAATAGAGTCCAAAGAAGAAAAAGTTATCCCACTTTAAGGGGCTTTACTTTCTTTAGTGCGTAATTAGCAATCATTTAGAATTTTACTATCAAAAAAGTGGGCATCATCTTTGGGGGTTCTCAGAAGAGATCTAAAATAACCAACCTACCTTACATCTTTCTCTCTGAAGTCCCTAAAGGTCTTAAAATATATTGCAGAATATATTACATAACAACAACAAAAATGCAAACCAGAGAGTCTCTTCCTTCTCAGTGAAATTTGGCCCAAAGCTCAAGATGAAATTCTTCCTCTTGAAAGTAGAATTTTCTGCTGTTAAAGTGCTCTCAGAGCTCACTACCTACGTTAATCCATTATACACAGCTGATCAGCATCAAGGCTTTCAATACAACATTACACTGCCAGGTTTCCAGAGAACCTGGAACTTAGGGTCACAATCTTGCAAAGCTGCTGAAAGCTCCACAACACTGAAGTCGCTCTTGATACCTCACCTAGTGCTACATAAAACACTTCTTGAGTCCCAACAGATGTCAGTTTGGATAAAACTATACCTCACCTCACGCCTGCATTTCAAAAATATCAGTGGATGAATCTTTTCACCACCTTTCTGTGTTTTCGTGCAGTACTGATCACTGAGTCAGAGAGTTGTTATGACACCACTTTAATAGTAGAATCCTACTTATTAGAAAAAATAACATCTAGAGAGCCTCTCTTTCAAATTCCTGCTCAAGAAAGGCTGGCTTGTATTAGGTTGCTCAAGGCCTTGAATACGTACAAGGATCACCGGTGGAAGCATATTAACATCTCTGTTTTGCTATTGTAATGATATAAATAGAATATCCTACCTGGAAAGGGCTTTTCAAGGAAGTGTCCTTTGATGGTTTGGTTGGCTGAGCCCAGCTGGTTGGTGGCCACAATTGTATAGTTGCCATTGTTGTAGTGAGTGGGTTTGTTGAAGAGCAGACAACCCTCCGACACTTCCCCTTGTTGGTAGAACTCCATGTGGATGATCTCCGTCTCCCGGAGGACCTGGCCATTGTGCAGCCAGTGAAGGGTGGGAGCTGGGTTCCCGTGCACCGCAAAGGCAATGCAGTGCTCCAGGTGTAGCACCGGCTCCTCCAGGGTTAGGATACGAGGGGGATCTAGCAAAGAGAAACACGGCAGAGTCACAGCACCCAAGCACCCACATCATCTCTGTGCACCACAGAAATTAAGACTGTTGAGAGCGTAATCTCCAAAATCCTTTGCCCCTTCTACCTTTCCTGTGGATGTCTGCAAAGAAGGAGTGCTGAGCCATAAGAACTGCTCCACAGAGAGATGATGTGAACCAGTCAGCACCTTTGGGCTTGTGAACAGTACTGAGTTCAGCACAGTGCTGGAGCGGCCCAGGCCACGCTAAGGCAGCATGTTCACACTACAGAGGACACTACGCAGTCAGCACCTTTGGGCTTGTGAACAGCACTACTGAGTTCAGCACAGTGCTGGAGTTGCCCAGGCCACGCTAAGGCAGCGTGTTCACACTACAGAGGACACTACCATGCAGCGCTCCTGCATTACGTGTTAGATGTGTGCAAGGTTCCTACAAGGGCTCTCCAGGCACACTGAGCCACTGGCACTCAACCATTCAAGCAAAAATCCTTCAAAAGCAGTGTCTCCTTGAGGGGCTTGATTGCCTGCATATTCCAACCACTGAACATCCTCCAGGGACATTTTAATTAAAGGGAGAACAGTAGAAGAGCAGAAAGAAAATGCTGAAACTGCACCTAAAAATTCATGCACGTGCATGGTCTTCCCTCACAAGACATCCCAAAAATTCAAATGCTGCTCCACCATCATTCTTGAAACCCAAATTACAGCATCCAAGACTAAGGTCCCAATCCTGAGGCTAACAAAGTACAGAAAAAGTCTTGTGGAGCAAAAGAAAAAGATTTATGTCTTTCCTAAAAAAAAAAAAAAAAAAATCCTTTCCCTCACAGTACCCAAATGCAAAAACAACCTACTAGGCACCCACAAGGAACAAAGATCCACCAACAATCACCCCTCTTTTGGAGAGAGAAAAAAAAAAATCGGACAGTGAAGTGGGTAAGAAAGAACAAGGTACAGAGCTGGTGGGAGCTGAGCAAGATTTTCTCAACAACGTTCAGGTAGACAGAACCATAAAGGTGCATCCCAGCCACTTAGTTTCGCTTGTAAGCCTAGATCTGAAGGCGGCTTACTCACATCTTCCTGGCAAGGGAGATACCAAAACAGACATCCACCTACACACAAAAACGCAGATCTTTTAAGTGTAAAATTGCAGCCTGAGTGATGGGTCTGGGCAGCAAGAGCAGGGGTAGCAAAAACCATCAGCAGCTTAGAGGATTACATGGGTGAAAATAGGCATTGGCATGATACTGTTGAAAGTGTGAAGGAAAACACGTTCAAACGCAGTGCGCAAACACCCGCCTGCTAACTGAGCTGATGCAAACTTCAAATATCTGCATTCTTTAATGCATCACTTGTATTTATTGGGAGGAAGGGGAAAGAAATAAAGCATCTCCTCTCCCCTTTCCAGTTCTCTGTGGCTGCCTTACCTTCCTGGGATGCTATAGTTCCTGCACACCACTAGACACGCAACACAGGTTCACCCAGACTGGTGTCTCTAGGGTTAGGCGAGTGGATAGATCTCCAAACTACAGACTTAGGGCAAATGTTACAGACCTAGCAACATACAGTAAATCTTAGCTGCTTGAGAGAGCAAAGCTGTGTAAACTGCTTCTTAAGGTCAGGTTTGTGTTAAGTTATATTAGAAAGGAGAGCAAAAGTTTAGGTACTTGCAGCTAGAAATGAATGGTTGAAATTTGACACCTGTGTGTTTACACGGCATTTGCTGTTTAACTTTGTAGGAACAAACCTGGAAGGAGCACAAGCATCTCTGAAATTGGAGGCAAAATTTACACTGGCTTTACCAAGGGTGACGTTGAACCTCTTAAACATCATCAGGGTGAACAACTACACGTTTGTAAACAGAGTTTTAGCCTCTGTGAATGTGATTTTCCACACGTTGGGTGGGGATACATCCACCATCAGTGTAGGACACTGCTCCTCACCCAGTGTATCTTTGCTATAATAGAAGTATCAGGAAAGCCAAAATAACAGCTTCAAAGGGACAGCTGTGCTAGGATCAGCCTCTACCTGTGGTCAGCTCATAATTCTCATCCAGAAAAAGAGCACATCACAGGTAGCAGATGTCCTGCTGCTGCCACACTGTCCTCAAGCAACCCTCCCTCCAGCCTCTAATGGTCAAGGTCTCCCCACCGCTACTTACAGTAGACAGTGAGCAGCACACTGGCATTGCTCATGCCCACCACGTTCTCAGCAATGCAGGTGAGCAGGAACCCGTTGTCCTCACTGGTGACATTCACCAAGGTCAGATTGATGGCATGAACATTGGTCCAGTTGAGGTTCGTCTAAAAATCCCAGAGAGATATACAGGCAGAAATCAGTGTCTCCTGCCTCCACATAAAATGTAAGAGTCTCTAGCATCCAGGGACAATTAGGATTTGGGTGATGAAGGTGTTTCCACATCTAAGTAAGTGCACTGTATCTAGAAGAGTGAATATTGGGGGAGAGGGGTGTGAGGGAGTCACAGTACTGAAGCAATGATAAACATAGCTTGTCTTTAGAAAAGCTTGCTTAGTAGAAAGTTTCAGCTACAGTTATTGCAAGCACCTCTAATCAGGTAGTTTCATTAAAGGAGTTAGAGTTAAGATTCAGTTGAGGAATATTGAACTATCACATCTGCAGTTTTCTGCAATAGAAAGGAAAAGGTTTTCTGCCTGCAATACTCGTCAGTTAGCCCTCAGATTCTCATCTGGCTAGGGGATGGCTTCTATTACCCATCAAATGCGATGACTTATTCACTTTTCTCCCATGGCACTCTTCGGCATTTATCTAACCTCGTTGTCCTGCGCACAAAGACCTCCCAAGTCTACAATGGCTGCAGAACATTTCTGAACATCCAGAACATCTGGTTCAGATGCAGGCTGCCCGACAGCTCCTCAAGCCCTACCTGGTGAGTGTTAATGGAGTGGAGGTCCGCGACGGTCCAGTCCACGTCGGGCAGCGGCGAGCCTGAGCCATTGCAGGTGATCACAGCGTTCTCCCCTTCCCGCACGGTCAGGTTCACGTGGCTCACGCTGATCTCGGGGAGGTCTAAGAGAGCCAGACACCAAGACACTGAGGTGAGAAGTGGCATTTGCTCAGCCAGCCATAAGGTCCATGTGTGCAGAGACGGATCCTGCCCAGCTGCTTCCCAAAGAGGCCTCAGGTGATGGCAGAGCAGCCTCCAGCATCCTGAGGCAAGGAGCAGGACACAGCCGTAAAGCCCTGCTTGTGAAAGGAGATGGGAGCACCAAGACCAGGGGGAAATCACACACCCTGCTGCCATCCTAGCTGAATCACACCCAAACCAGAACGTTTTGGGCAGTCCTGGCTCCTCTCCCTCCTCACACAAACACCCTACCCTTCCCTTCCTATCGCACTGAAGCTGCTCTCGAGGGCAGTCACCTGGGAAGGGTAAAGCCTCGTGTGCTGGGAGAGGATCCAAAGCCTTCACCACCCCCGAGGACACAGCGCAGAGCACCCAGGACTACGGGCGGGCAGAGCATCCCTCTAATTTATAACAATCAAGACAAGATGACCAAGGATGTGTCCTCATATTAACTGCAGCTCTCCTATTAAAAGATGCCCTTGCTCTTCCTCCGAGGTGGCAGAGAGATTCACTGATTTATAGCAACCCTGATTTACACCTCTTCAGTGTTTGCTGCCACAGGCGCCAGATATGCTTGCAACGTGCCACAGACTGTGTCGGTCACAAGGAGAAGGGCAAATAGACCTCTTAAAAAAAAAAAAAAAAAAAAAAAAAAAAAAACTTGAGGGAGGCTTTCTGGGCTCACTGAAGACAGCCAGGGTAGGAGGAAGAGGGAATTGGCTGCTGGTCCCCTCCCACAGGGGATATTTCCCACTGTTAACGGGGATACCCAGCCTTTTGTTGCCACTGGGACATGGCAGCAGGAGGGAAGCAACGTCACATGAGGAATGGCACTAGTGTGGACAGCAGCAAGGTCACAATGCAACCCGTTTCTCTGAAATGTTTCCCTGGAAAGTTCAGAACTGATTTCAAAGCCGTCTGCTGCTTTCTCGCTTCTGCTTCCTTGCCCGGGAGGATCTCACTGATGCCAAGAGGCAGCAAGACAACGGTGGGTCAGATGCCTGGTGTGTTGACCAGGCCACGAGAGGAGCTCTGCTGAGGCAGCAGCTCCATGGGATCAGCACAGGGGCAGGCAGGAGAGAACACATCAAGCTCCGAGGGTCTCCCCCCGTCCAGCTGGCATCAAACATGGCCAGAGCGAGTCACACCAGCCCTCAGGACTAAGGGCAGAGGCACACAGAGCCTTGTTAGGACAACCGTAAAGTCATTTTAGTGCTCAAAGAGAAAAGGTCTCCCGTGGAGGAAAGCACATCAGTGGAGCTCCTTTCTCTGCTAGAGGACTACAGAGTCAGGGGAGATGCTCACCCTACACACCAGAACGTTTGTGTTCACAGATCAGCACCCTGCTGTCCACTCAAGTCTAATAATACCCTAGATGAAGTCACCTCTCCTCCCTTCCCTGATCCCTGAGGATTTTTTTTTTTAATCTTTGAAGATTATTCTTCCCATTTGTGGAGGAAATTACAACAGTCTCTCAAATCTTTTTAGCTCATCCAAATGCAGGCATGCTTTGGCCAATTTCCAGAGCTTAATAAAGGGATACCGTGAACTTGAAAAACGTGCATGCCGCTTGTCTACTCCTACTATAAGAAACAAAACATTCCTAGAACCAAGGAGATCATCTTAAAAAAAAAAAAAAAAAAAAAAAAAACTACTGTGTTTTTCCTCCTTTTTCCCAGGCTGTGCGTTTGACAGATGCTTGTGCACAGACAGTTTAATTGTTCTGCTTATGGTACATGTCCTTCCCATATTCTACAAGGGATGCTTTCCAGTAACAGCAATAGCAGAGCAAAAACTGACACTGAACAAGCAGCTGATGTGCGAACAAGGTGAAGAGGACAAGGAATAACTCTTGAATATGCCTCCTGCTGCTCCTGGGGCCAGTGGACTCTTTTAAACATCAGCAGTTTTTGATATATAGTCTGCATCTTCCCTACAGACTGTGGCTTTTGACTGAAAAAAAATAAAACAAAGCAAACGAATAAAGACATGTATTTCCTAAGAGTAATTACAAGAGATAAGGTGACCATGCCCTTTAACAATATGCCATTTCCAGGATTTGCTAGGCAGAAGGAAGAGCACCAAGAAACACATTCTCGTCAGGGAACGGACTGATCACACACACTTTGTCATGCAATAGCACTGCAGTGGAAGAAATCCCCCAAATCACCCCATACCTCCAGGCATCAACAAAAGCAGCTCTGTTTTTACCCAGAGACTATTTTAACCCGCAAACTACGCAGCGTTCTCGGGAACGTGACGCTGTCCCGCGACACCGGCGTCCCCACGACGGAGGTGCCAGTGCTGGGAAGGCTCCTCCGGGCTCGGCCGGAGGCAGAGGGCGACGCTCCCGCAGCGCCCGTGGCTTTGCCTTACCGCACTGCGTGATGTTCATCTCGTGCAAGGGGATGATGGCCGCGTCCACGGTCATGCAGTACAGCTCCTGGTACTGCAGGGTGGCCTCGCCCTTCTCCTGCCACAGCTGGATCCAGCGGATGTCGCAGCTGCAGTTAAAAAGGTTCTTCTCTAGTCTCCTGCGGGCAGAGAGAACGTGAAAAGCGGCGGTGGGGTGGGGAAGGACACCCAGGTCACTGCCCATCTCCTTGGCTCGCCAGGAGCGGGACCAAGACAAAGAGGCCTGAAGCTGCATTTCAAACCCTGCTAAACCATGAAGACAGCGATGGGAGGATCCTCCAGCCCAGGGACCATCAGATGGAGTGGCCAATTGGCCACTTGGCAGAGCCAAGGCCAGCACGATGGGGAGCTCAGGGGATGTGGAGACCCAGTAGGAATCTCCACCACGGGGCTGTGTGGGGAAGGAGGCGACAGGAGGACTGCAACCACGCGGACGAGAAGCTCTTTGAGCTAACAGGAAATCTCTTCCCGAGTCTTCTGGCACACCAAATCCTTTCCTATTCCAGAGATGGTCGCTACACACCCGCGTGGTCGCACGTCCTCTTCCACACACATGGGCACAAGGTTGTCACATCTCTCAGAGCTCCACACACAGATACTCAAGCCCCATCTGCCACCACAAAGAGCACGTATCTGTGACTAGGTCCCACGGTTGAACCAGTGGCAGCATCAAAATATGCATTTCTTGGCAAGGAATCAGACAGGACTACATTGCCCCAAAATATTAAATATTTCACATTTTACAATGTCAGTGCTTGCACAGGACCAAGACCATGATGGGGAAAGCAGAGCCACAGCCTCTCCTGAGCACCCGGTGGAGCTGGCAGCTCTGCTCCACCTTACACTGTATTAACACAAACCTCCTGCTGATCTAGGACACAAGCTAATGCAGTGGGTATCATGCATTTTAATCAAATCACACAGCCCTGCATTGAGACCTTGCTGACCTGGCCAGGAGAAATGGGGAAAAAAAAAACCCTGCCTTTAATGCACTCCATTTAAAATACACTTACCTGTGTTTTATATACCAGAAATGTTTATTATTATTGATTTTCCAACCTATTAACCATTTCATTTACATTTTTAAAGCCCTGCAGCTCTCTGCAGAGATACAAAAATCTCTGCAGAGATGAGTCTGATAAGGAAAGGGAACCCAATGCACAGCTGGGAGGGCAGAGTTAACAGGTTTTGCATGGATAAAACACAGGAGAGCGCAGAAGAGCAGAATTTCCCCTTTTCATTGCCAAAAAAAAAAAAAAATGCACAACAACAAAAATCAGTCACCCCAAAGCAGAAGAGCAAAGGTCAAAAAATTCCTTCCCAGAGCACCTAGGCCTCCACACCACGGAAGGACAGGCTGTTTCTCTGATCCATTCCATGTGTTACTGTAAAATTCACGCTTCCTTTTACAAAATTAATTTCACCGACTAACAGGATTTGGAAATAACCTTGCAAACACGTGCAGCTGCTGTTCTTTCCATACAGTACTGCCAAAGGAGAAGGGGGGGTCCTCTGTTAGCACCTGGGCACGTTAAACCTGAACACTAATGACGTCACTTTGAATCGCTTCATAGAACAAGATGTCAACTGTGACCTTTTTTAGGAACAAACACCAAGTTAAACTTCACTAGATGGCTTTTCATTATTACTTTCCTTTAGAAATGAGCCACAACTTTGTGAGGCAATTATAAGGTGTAGACAAGAGACTTGAAGGCCAAAACACTGAATTCCACCCAGCGGTTCATTGGGATTGCAGCGGCACGGCGTTCCCTGCACGCTGCGCCGGCGTTGCTAGCACATCACGCAGGCTTGGACCCCTCTTCACGTGGCCGTGGAGCTGGAGGCCGGCTCTCCTTGGGACCCGAGGTCCCTCCGGCCTCCGCGGGAGCAGGGGACACGTTCCCAGAGCGCGGGACAGCACGTGGGCACGAGCCACGGGCCCTGCTAAGGGCGACTCTGGTAACGGGAGCTGCACGTCGGGGAAGAAATGCTGCCCCACAGCAAATCTCATCACGAAGGGAGGCTGCCAGGGAGAGCCCTGCCACAGCGCTCAAGGGCAGCTCTGCAAGCAAGAGAAGGCAGCGTCCCCAGCCCATCGCTAATTCATGAGGGCCCATGAATAATACAGGAGCAGCGTGCTGCAGGGCAGGATTTACCAACGACCTGCCCCACCAGCAGGGATGTAACTTGTTCTAATTGAGATCCCCACAGGGGTTTTTGCACAAATTAACTCCTGTCGCAGGCTGGACATGCTGTGTGCTACCAGTAGCACTGGTTTTGCACTGGGAAGACACAGCAGGCGTAAGGGGTAGAAGATGCTCACGCCATTTTTCCCTTCACACTCTTCCCAAGGACATTCTTGACCTGTTACAGAGCCTGCTCCTTGCTTGAAGCTTGTCCTGCCAGCAGACGTTCCAGAGAGGTGCATGAGTGTGACACCCACGCTGCTCTGCACCTGTGCCTTCCTCCTGGCCTAGGACACCAAAACACCCTTGTCTCATCTCAGACCTCCACATCGGAGCCTCAGCCTCCGGGCTCGCGTGGATCACTTCGAGTCAGAGCCCTTCCTGTCCTTCCTCCTGCAGACTCCAACGCGTTTGTTCTCTCCCTGTGGATTTAACAAAGGCTGAAAGCAGCGGCTGGTCCTATGCTCCGCTAATCAGCACGCTGCGCACGCAACGTGAAAGAGGACACAGCTCTCCTGAGAGCAAACCACAGGAATTGAACCACTGTCACTCACACCCAACCTGGCCACCACCTTCCAAGGATACAGAGTCCCTGTTACCTGAAAAAAATGTGCTTGCTGAAATAAATTTACTGAGATGAACTTCTCTGCAAGGAGGGAAAGCACCTCTGGACATACAAGGTGCCCTTAGGCAAATGCACACTCTCTGGGTAGGAGGCATCCCCATGTGTGGCAGAGACAGCCTCCATCACAGGAGAAAACAGCTGTTAAATAGCAGAGCGTGGAAGGCCAAGAGAAATGGGTTTATTTGTGTCAAAGTTTTTATAAGGCTTTTGGAGACCAAAGGGTCAATGGGGAAATCAAAACCAAACACCATGGGTATGGTGAGAGCTGTCAGATGGGAAGGGCCAAGGAGGACAGAAGCTGGAGCTGCCTGCCTTGTCACGCAGCTGTACGGGAAGAGTTTGAGAAAAGGAGCCAATTTTCTCAGCTACATCCACTTCCTCGGCACCCTCGAACACAACTCACTTGGCTGCTATAGGCCTACAGCCATACCAGCACTGCAGCAAGATCTAAGGCAAGGGGATCCTTCCCCACATTCAGCACAGCTCCTCCTGGGAAGGACAAGTAAATCTAAAGGGCATTCTTCACACACAGCCTTAACCTGGAAATATTGCCAAACCACCGCTTGGCTACAGCCACCGCAGAACCGCGCACACTCCCACACCTTCCTGAAAGCCTCATTAAAACAGAACAAAACGCCCGTGAGAAACAGCAAGCGCCGCAGCTGCACGTGTGCCAGGGGCTTTCTGAGCACGCAGAACTGCTGCTGCACCAAGGGAGGCAGCAGCAAACGGGACGGAACCTGCACGTGGGCCGGGCCCAATCATCAACCCGAGGCAAAGCAAAGACACCAGGACCCTCTGCGCCCAACCGCGTCGCACTGTGGACACCGGAGCTCCGCTTGTGTTCGAGACGGAGGGAGGAACAGGGACAGTCATGCACAGCACCATTATCATAGAAGATGGGAGACAGAGCTGAAACCCCAGGCCATGTGGAGACTAAGTCAATCCAAGCGTTCTTCACAAGTGCTATATGGATGGCGCGTAACCTCATCCCAAATTCATGCTGGCTCAGAACAAATCTGGAGGTACGCAGGACCTAAAAAAAAGCTCTGAAGCACAGAGCACCATGGCAGGAGCAGAAGAGGATCCCTGGACCCTTTCAGTTTATACCACCAAGGTTAAGGGACTGTGCGCTCCCTGCCCACCCCAACCACACATCCATCCGCCATCTGAGGTGTCCTGCAAGGAGCAGCAGTAACACAAGTGCCTGAGTCAAGGCACCATGCCACAGCTGCGGGACCCACCGCGGTGCCACATGCCAGTGCTGCAGCTCCCAGGTCCAGGTCAGCTCTGCTGCTCCCCGCAAAGCTGCATCTACCCCATCCAGCTCCCTGAGAGCCTCCACCACAGCAGAATGACATGGGAAAGGGAGGTCACCAGCGTTCCAGAAGGTGCTGTGACAAGTGGCGTTTCACACATGTGGCAGGTTCTTTCCAGCGTAGGCAGCTAAATGAGATGCACTGTCCTGTGCCTCATCCCTACCAGCCATCAGCTAAAACAGACCTGTCTGCAGCAAAACCTCTAGGAGAGGAGTGGAAATCTCTGCCACGCTTCTGTGTGTGTCAGCTCACACAGAACCACCCCTGAGCTTGGCACACTTGAAACCAAACCATCCCCCTACCTGGGGACTCAGACCATCTTACTTACCTTCAGGAAAAGAGGGCCCAGTGCAGAGAAAACTAAATCTATTTTCATTATTCATTTACATGCCAGGACCTCTCTGGGGAATCCAGCTAGAATCACCATTTCCAAACCCCTGCCAGAAGGGATGGGGCAGGAAAGGAAGAGCTCAGAGCAGTGCGAGGTTTCTGAAGACCGAGTTAGCTCTGCACAGACTACACAAGAGTCTCTGCTTTGCTGCAGCTCTATTAATGTGACTGCTGGCAGCAGTGAGTTATTTAAGCTAGAGGCACGTGTGATGTTAACTTGTGCTCTTAATGTTAACAGAGATGCTGCTCTGCCCTGCCCCTCAAAGGCTCTTGCTGTAGCACTGCAGAAACCCACTGCAGGGCAAACTGGCAGCGACCGCTTGTGTTAGACACACTGAGGATGTGTGCTGCAGGATGTTTGGAACTACAAGGTTTTATACAACTGAAGATGTAATTGCATCCAGAGTCTTAAGGCTTTGGGGGAAGGAATTTCTTGAAGTGTCAGCCCTAAGCCCTCTGAGGACATGACAAAGGAAGCCAAGGACATGACAGAGGAAACCAGCTGTGACTTCTGGATAAGAGAGGCTGCAAGCCCAAGGTTTACGAGCTGTTGTACGTGTCAGAGGCTTCCCTGTGCACACTTAGCTTCAGACTTACGAGAAGTGTCCACGCATTAGCTTCAGTCCTGCCTGTCAAGGTCAGCCCGTGCCATGGGAATTAGGGCTGAGATGCTGGAAACCATTCCAAGCCTTGCTTATGGCCAGGAGGAAAAAGAGATAATTTTTTTTGGAAGCGTGCCTCATTTTTGCCATCCTTTCTTCAGTGAGTCAGCAGGGAAAAAGCTCAGCTCTGTTCAACAAGAATCTCTGCCTTAAAGAAATTATCTTCTCTCCTGGCTTAAGATGCCTCGAATGCAACTTTGAACAGGCAGCTGTTCTAAGCCCCAGATTCCCATGCACCAGCCTGCTCTCACAGCCTGGCAACAATCTCCATATTATTCTTTGACTCTGTTCTGCTCCATGTTCACTCTGAGTGGCTTTGTCAGGTGTTATGTTCCCTGGCATTCTCCATTTCACACCAGTTGTAGTTCCTCTCTCCCAACACCCTGCAGGAGATGATCTCCCCACCGCCTCCTTCACCGCGTGCTCCGCTGCTCGGAGCTGCCTCCCTGCCGCTCGTGTTCCTGCCTCGGCCGACACTCCTCCCTCTGGATCCCTGGGGACGGCGGAGCCGCCTGCGTTTGCCTGGCTGCGCTGAGGCTCTGGGTCGCCCCAGCTGGGTGCCCTTTCACGCACTGTCCCTTGGTTCACCACAAGCGCCTGCGCCCGCGCTGCCAGCAGAAGGTCCCACTCGTCCCCACTGACCCCCCACCCCAACACAGCCCTCTAGAAGGGGACAAACCCTGGGGTCACCTTCTGGCCTCCCCACGGCCTCCCAGGACCTGCTGCTCAGCCTGCATCCCGAGCTTGCTATCTCGGCCTCCGTCTCTCCTGATCATCTTGTTTTTGCTTGGTGAGATTTAGCTTCAAGCTCCTAGTCGATACCAGTCCACAACTTCCTTTCTAGATCTCACCAGTGTTTCACACTTACTTTGTAAGCCGTGTATTCTGATCCCCTCCCAAATCCTGGAGACTCTTTAGAGCTCAGTATGCCACAGAACTGTTTTTTACTTAACCATCTACTTAACCACTTAAAAGAAATAAAAAGAAAACCATACACTCTAAATTCTCCACTTCTACCTATTACTAATTTCTCCCCATCTTTTAGATTTACTTTTGCTCATCAACAAGTACAGAGCTTCTAGTCCTCAGGGCTATGAACATTCCATAACAGATCTTTCTTTCCTTTATTCTTTATTCTTAATCTCCAAATCCCATTATGTGAATGAATATTCAGAACCTATAGCTCAGACTACATATCCACATCGCCTTCTCTTGAAGGTATGCAAAGTTCTGCAAAATTGTTTTCATGGTCTTACCCCTGGGAAAAACTGCAAGCATATCCCTTTTCCCAATTAACACTGACTTCCTAATGAGCATCAACTAAAATATCCCCCTCCTCCTTTCACACTTCTGGGAATAGCATTCCGATGTCATTCTGCTATCTCCATCTGTCTGATCTATGCTAACCTGGGTGGAGGGTCCTCAATGAAAAGCGGCACAGAATATTTGACAAGAAACACCAGTGACAAAGCAATTCATCAAAGAAAAAAAGAAAAAAAAAAGGAATAATTTCACTGGGTTCTTAGTTTTGTACTTCAGTGCAGCCAAAGCAAGTCAGACCCAGCGGGCATTCATGGAGCCCCAAGCTCCTCCGTAGCTCTGGGCTGGCCACTCGAGCTCGTGCTGTCACACGGTGGCAAGAGCACATGGAGGGCACCGAGCGGGCCGGCTGGGCACGGCCGGGCCGCAGCTCTGCCCCCCTCGCCGTGGATTCTGCCAGGCCTCTCCGCGGGAAGCCGCTGACACGGCACTTCACAACCACGGCGCTGCTTTCCCACCTCCTACCATCTCTTCCTATTAACCAGCCCTGTGATCTGCAGCATTTTATCCACATTACTTCTCTCATCAATCAGGCCTCGTTACAGCTGAGAAAACCACTTTGAGCGCAGATCCAACAGGAGCCAAATGATTCGGATCATTTCCGTTTGCCAGCATGCAGAGCACTGGCTCCAAGCAACTCTGCTGATGCAGAATTAGGCCAGCTCAAGACGACGAGCATCCCTCTGAGCATCCCTACAGCATGACAACAGATGAGTCTTGATCTGTACTCTGTATCTGCTGCAGACAGAGCACACTCTGTTGCCCCCAAAACAGTATCTCATTCCATTAGTGAAAGGTATTGGTCTTTTCAGCCTTACTTGGATTGACAGACCTAGGAAACACCTGAAGAAATGACATATAACTAAGTGAAACCCACCTAAGAACAGAGCCAAGTTGGAAGTACCCACGCTGATCTGCAGGATGCTGTTATCCCAGACCCTAACTCCAAACATCCTTGCCAGTGCCTGTAGTGCAGGATTGCAGCCCTCATTTGCTCTTCCACTCTTGAATGTCTCTTGGGTCTAACAACCATTAATCTGAGTTTTGCCAGACTGCGCAATAAGTAAAGGTCTAAGAATACAAATGACTCATGCTATTAAACTTGAAACCTGAGCCAGGCTTTAAAAATATTTAGAGCTGTAATCAGTGAGGAGACAAACTCCAAATTCAGCATTTTTAACTTTGTTCACCAGATTCCCCACCAGAAGGGTGTTTCTGTATTTTCTAATATCACTATTAGTATTTTTCATTTAACAACTTGACAGAAATAAAATACACTGGAGTAACACCGGTGATAACACACTTACTCCCACTTGAAAGACTGTCTTTATTCTTTCATAAGTCACTTCTGGCTCACAGTTCTATTGATCATCAGTGAGGATGAATGGAGTTTCCCAGAATCCTCTGGGAAAAATCCTACATATATATTTTTTTTTATACCCACCAAAAAACTATTTCTAAAATTCAACAAAACAGGTCACCAGGGCAACATTCCATTGATTTCATGTCCACTTATTCTTCGAGCACAACACTGAATGCTTTATCAATAATTCAGTAGGTTGAAGGCCACTGCTGCCCAGAAGGAATCCTATCTAACCTCCCACACCGCATCTGGAAGCACCTCAATTGCTAAAGATCGAGGGAGTCATTCACATAAAAGAAGGAGTGCCACATAAAAAGTGTCACGAGCTAAAGGGATATAACCAACCATAGCCCACAGATGAACAGCAGGTGAGGATCAAGTCTTGGAAGAGTTTCACTCAAAACGTGACCTAGTAAGTATTACTAATGTGTTCCCAGAGTTAGTCAACCAGTTACCACCCCACACACAGCTTGTTCATCATCCTGACATTAATTATCCAGATGCCATGGATTTCAAAGAAAAGCAGTTCCACTCTGCTGCTTCAAGACCCTGGAAAGCCTTCCAAGGATGCTTTTGCCCACCTGAGTTTTAGATAATTATTCATAGGTCCCAAAATAGGTTCTTTTGAGAAACCATTTAACCTCCTACTTGGTTCAGCCTCCCCTCCTCTCCCAGGAGATACCTCAAGATGGAACTTACAGTTCAAAGAGTCTCAGTGTCTGGAAGAGTTGCCATGACAGTGTGGTGAGCCGGTTACCGGAGAGGTCTCTGAAAATTAACAAGAAAAAGAAATCATGGTAAATAATTCCTTCTGCATCTGGCCCTATGGGGTCCACAGAGCTCATCATTTCTTCCGTAGGGAAACAGTCAACCAGTCTAGGACCCAGCCTTAAGTTTCATAAAGAGAGATTTTAATGAATCTCAGCCGAAACAGAAATTTATCATTTTATTTGTTTCCTAGTGGGAAATGGTTTATATTCTGCTACAATGTTAAAAAACTCTTGTCACTTGTGTCCAAGAATCAGGAGCTCAACCAACCGTAAGCAGAAAGAACAAGCCTAATTTCATTTTCCAAACATGAAAAAAATACTAAGTACAAACAAAATTCATGTTAAAAATATTAACACCCAGGTTAAAAATGACAGAACCATAATTATCCAAGATATTATCATTAGCTTGGAAAGATTCTTAAACAACGGAGAATTTGTACATTAGCTGCATCCCATTACAGCTCTTTAATATTTGTACCAGAAGGTACCACTATTACAGCAACTAACAGCTTCATACCCCTTTCTGTATCTGCCCAAACTTGCAAAAACACAAATATTAACTACCTAGGGAATATCCAGAAGACATCTCTTCAGCTAAAAGCCAAAAGAGGATAAAACAAGAGCAAAACCAAATGAAGCCTTTAAAGCAAAAGAAGAAATGTGTTTGGGGTGGACTGACTAAAAAGAATAAGAGCAGAGCCCTGTGTTCCTAACAGTGCGAGGGGACAGTGACAACCTCCTCTCTGGAAGAGGCTTTCTGCCAGTCTGGCCTTCCAGCAGACCCCTCCAGCCAATGCCAGAAAGGAGCTCCCACACTCTGTGTCCCCATGGCCCAGAAAGGAGCTCCCACACTCTGTGTCCCCATGGCCCAGAAAGGAGCTCCCACACTCTTCCTCCCCACGGCCAGGGGCCGGTTGCTGACACCACCCTCCCCTCACCACACGTTTCACACCCCCACGAGACAACCTTCTGGCACCAAAATCTTGTTGTGACAACCCAGGCTACCAAAGTGACAGTGCTGGGGAGCATGGGGAGGTGCAGACACTCCTCTGGCTCTTGCTGGTGGGACAGGAAGAATTAAGGAGTTGAGAAGGACCAGAGCAGGTGGAAATTTGTTGTGGGGCTTTTGGACATGGAAGAAACCACTCAAGGGTCTCTGCCAAACTCCCCAGCTAGCCCTGAAGTGAACAAGCTCAGCACAAGCGGGTCATCCAGGACCTGCCCTTCCTCAGAGATGCGATCTTTGCTGATCAGCTGCTGACAGCATTAATTTGTTTTTCCTTACTCCAAAACCCAGATTACAGAAACTAGCCCTAATCCAAGGGCTGCCACCCCACCTACGGAGATGTACGATCACAAAATTTTGCAGAAATCCAAAGTCATCCCATCCTCTTGCTGGCATTCAGAGCTACAGAAAGCACGGGAAGTGGGTTGAAGCGATGCCCTGCTGTCCTTCCCTGCATCTAGCCCTGTCCCCACCGGTTGTTCTGCCCCCAGGTAGCCAGGCCCATGCGTGTCCACAGGCCCCACAGCTCATCACACACGTGTGCCCTGGCTGCAGGGACCCTCCGAGCTGCAGCCCCGCTCGCTCCAAGGGCAGGGAAGCACCAGAGGTACCAACGACAAGCCCGGCCTTTCGTTAAACCAGCGGCTGCTCTAAGGAGAGACATGGGACAAGGGGGCTCGGCCTGGGATCTCCGCTCAATTTGGAGAAACGGGATCAAAGCAAGGCAGCAAGTCTCAGAACCCACTGGTGCCGTTGGAGGAGTGAGAATTTGGCCTGCAAGATTCATTTGCTGGCTTGCCCTGCATTAAAGGGCAGTAAGCAGCGAAGGCAGAAGCTGTCAGGCTGGTGGGGAGAGGACATCGCTTCCAAACTTGCCCTGCTTCACAGGGCCAGACAACCCCCTCCCAGGAGGGCAGGGAAGAGCTGACCTGCAACAGCAACGTCTCAGCACCGTCCTCTGAGCCCTGCCAGGCCAGCACCCGCGGGCCCCCGTCTCACTTCCCAATTCAGGGCTTGCAGGGGACACACCACCCAGCAACACACACGGGAAAAATAACTTGGGACAACTTTGCGCCGCTCAAACTCCGATTTGCAGAGGGATTGGAAGGGGAGAAGCCACCCAGCTGGCACCACCAAGGCAGCCAAGCCTCCACACCAACCTGCAGCTCCCAAGCAAACCCCCACGGGCTCTCCCTGACTCCAGCACAAGCAGAACGGCCGGCAGGGCCGGCACCGCGCCGTTACGCTGCCTCGCGCCAGACCATCCCGTTGCACAAACCACCGCAAACCCCAGGGACCTGCTCTCACAGGACTAAGATCCCACCACTCCCAAGGCTCTAGACAAATTGCTACCAGCCTCCCACAAAGTTTAGCAGTAACAGCTCATGAAACTAAGGGAGAGGGGGAGATTGCACACCTCCCCCCTGATCCACCCCAGGCACCTGGGCGCTTTGCAAAGACAGATGAAAAGTAGGAGGGGAAGGAACAGGTCGCTGCTACAGAAAGACTAGACAGCAAATTCCCTCCCCCAGCAAAGAACGAAGAAGGAAGTGAAAATGGGGATGCATGAGAGACAGCAAGATGTGGGAGAGAGGCAGAGATGCAGAGGAGGGAGTGAATCTTGCTGGAATGTCCTTTCTCAAAGGTCATGTTTTGCTACATTAGGCAGAAATGTCAAGAGAAAATTGGATTCTGAAAGAGAAGAGAAAAAAACAACAGGCTTTCCACGCAAATAAGGGAATCAAAAATAGCATGATCATGTTATTACAATTTAGGGCACCGAGAGATGGAGAGAGGAAACATCCTCACTGTTGCAAACAGCTTTGCCAGGCAGATGTGCTCCACTTTTTGCCTCCGTCAGTCCCTGGAAATCAGCTCCTGCCTCCCTCCTCCCCCCAACAACCCAAATCATGCCAAGCCTCCAGCAAAGAGAAGTATCTTCACTGGCACGCATCTGGCAGGGGGTTCTCTGAGGAGGAAGAGGCACCATCCAATACAGCCGTTAGCATCTGCAGGACTTGTCAGGAAGGACACGTATTAACAGCTCCCGTTTCAGGAGATCAGCCACAAGTCATACAGGGAGAAATGCAGTCGTCACTGCGAGCGGGTAGACAGGATGCTTTAAAATGTCACTAAGGTCTTTCTAAAAGGCCCCTGACCTCAGCAAGGGGAAAGAAAGGGGCTACACACATAAATACACATTAAAAATACATAATTTAGTTACAAAGCCAAACACTCCAAAGGTCAGAAATGCCAGGACTAAGGTTAGTCACACAAAAAGTGCACTAGCTGACACCAAAATACAGAGCCCCTATGGAAAGAAACCTTGTTGTGCAGCACTGATCTCTCTCCTGAAGAGCCACCCGTGCACTGCACGTAGGGTGATGCACAGGCACCTCCCCATCCCTGCATCCCGGGGCAGGTTTCCTGAGAAAACAACATGGGATTGATTATGTAATTAGAGGCGATATCACAGTACATGCCCTAACCTCATTTCTAACCTCTGGCTGACGTGCTCAAGCTTCCCGCTGCGCACATGGAACTTCCCAATGTTTTATAAAGAGCGAATGGGGAGAACAGAAAGTCAATTCCCTCCACATATTCCCCTCAGTCCCTGCTGCAATTGTGCAAAATTGCCACAAAACCAACCTCTATCACTTGAGCAACTCCTATCCCAATTCCTTGTGGTGTTTCCAGCCTTTATGCCCTCCCATGGCAGTGCCAACTAAAGCTTCCATGCATCCCCCCATCTGCTCCCAAAGAGTCTTTCCAAAACATTTCTTCTTATTCTCCTGCAAACCCTTCATCCAACTGGATCTAGGGCTGTTCTTCCTGGGGTTGACTAGGCAAGGGAAAATCCCCTGAGGAGCAGGGACAGGGACCACAGCAAGGCTAGAACATGATGATGACGCGTTCAGGCAATTCACCTGCAAACACCACGGACATCTCTGAGCACTAGCAAATGAGATTTTTAATGGAGCTGAGCTTTGGCAGAGTTTCATGGGGATGGCAAAAACAAATCTTTCACGTAAAAGCTGCTCTTTGGTGATTGCCTAGCTCCAAAACATGAGGATGCAGGTGCTTCATGGAAGAAGCTTTGCCAATTTTTTTTTTTTTTAAACTTGAGCAGAATCACAGAACAGCCCATTCTTTTCCCTCCATCCACTCCCTCAAGCATCTGAACAGATTTTGTTTGAAATTAAAAAAAGAAATAATAAAAACAATAAACTCAGCCAGGAGCAGGCACCCAACATAGAAAACTTCAACCTGAGTGATTAAAATTTGGCAGTGGTAGGAAAGCAAAAACAGTCTTAAAGCAGAGCATGCCAGCCAACCTTTCCAACAGACTGTGCACCAGCTCCACCTGCAACACAACACGGCAGAGCACACAGAGCTGAGACCCGCTCCGAGCTCCCTCCAGGGCTGCAAACACGGCTCTGGCCTCCTCAGGACAGTGGCTGTTGGCACTTTTATAGCACGTTTGAACTGCTGCTTTGCCATGCGACACGTTCACCATCACGCCCAAGACTATTTTCCACATAAAGAGAGGAAATGTTTAGTAAAAGGTGCAGGGTCCTCTTCCCTCTGGAGAAGGTTTCCAAGGAAGGGCTGGGCAAGGCAGAGCACTTTGCGGGCAGCCAGCAAAGCCCATGAGCTCTCGTGTCCCTGCCACAGCCGCCTTGCTGCCCTCGCACCGCGCTC